TTCCTCTACACTGATTAAGTCGCTGCCCAGTTTCCTCTCACACACACTCACATACGTTAGACGTGCCATTTTGAGGGACTAGCCCTGGCACTAGATGCGAAGAAAAGAGGAGAATGCTTTACATCTCACTCCACTGGATCTCCACCAACAAGCTCCATTTTCTTTGTTCTTTGTAACTTGAGTGGACCTGTTTGTTGGGGGTGTTTTCTGTTCAGTTCCCCCAGCTTTTTAGTCCCAGAGAAAAATCACACTGAGATCTCTATAAGTTATAAAGCTGATTGGCCCATTAGGTCAGGCTACTTATTAGCTAACTCTCACATCTTGATTAACCCATTTTTCTGATCTATGTTAGCCATGTGGCTCAGTACCTTTTTCACTGGGGCAGCTCACATCCTGCTGCTTCGGTGATCTGGGTAGGAGTGAGAGGAATCAACTTCCTCCTCCCCAGAATTCTCCTGCTCTCCTTGCATCATTTCCACTTCCTGTCTGGTTTTCCCACCTACACCTCCTGCCTGGCCAATCAGCGTTTATTTAAAACATGATTGACAGACTACAGGCAATTCTCCTGCACCAGTTCTTGATGACCCAAGTTCTCTCATCCCACAGAAAGCTAAAGTTTTGTGTTTAAATAGAATCTTGTTTCTGTGTTGCCATTTTTTTAATTTCACGTATTTCTGTGCCTTAAATACACACTCAGCAATCTTCAATTGGACCTATTGTTCCTTTCACTTGTTCCCAACCCATGTCCACAAGAGCACATCAAACAGCTCCTAGAACCTTTACAATACAACGATGTCCACTCCTATGTCCCAGGAAGCAGCTCTTCTTATTTTGCCCACAGTCCTTTTTTCTTAGGCAATTTCGCAGAGGTATGGGGGTGAGATAATGGTCTTAGATTCGGCTGCAGTTAAACCGTGTTCACTGTCTATAGTTGGACCAGCAAGGGCAGATCAGGATTGATGGCCTCTTCCGTCTCTGAACATTCAGAAATGCAACTCACTCTATCTGTGGTTGCTACTTAAATAACAGAAATACCAGGGAATAAGTAAAAAAGATATTCAAAAATGTCAAAAATCTTTACCATCAAGAAGTTTACTTTCAGGCCATAAGAAGTTAGTAAAGCATGCAAAAAATGAACTGGAAGTGAAATCAGCCAGACTCAAGAAAGATAAATAGATCATGTTTCTCTTGTGTGCAGAAATGAAATTTTAAATTATATATGTGCGTTTATATATGATATGCATATTTGCGTACAAGTCTTCAAACGAGAAAGAAGATCATGAATGAGGAAGAAAGACAAGAAATTACAAAACACAAAATAAGCAAATTATATGAGAACTATAGAAAATAGTAGTCGATAATAAGTATGTAAAATAAGAAAGGGAGATGGGAAGAACTACCGAAGAGGTAGCACCTGAGTGCAGACCCACAGGTAATATGGGACTTCGCAGGCATCATCTCTGGAGTTGAGGAAGGAGCCAATGTTGAGGGCAGGGTATGGGAGCATGCAGGCATACCTAGGGCAGCTATGGGAGTTCTCCTGGTACACCCAGGGCACCATGAAGAAAAGTAGAAGGCAGAGTTAGAGCAAGAGATGTACGGCCATTGCAAAGACCTCTTGGTATCCATCCAGTTTAAACAGAGATCTTCAGAGAAGTTTCCATGGATAAAACCACGCTAAACTTAATATCTCAACAGCCCACTCTGAATGTGAGCAGAAAGAACACGGACAAGACTGTGAGGGACAAGCCCACCTCTTTAATCCCCATGTCTTTTTACCTGGTCTTCTGTCACAGATGCCTAAAGCGTGGCCACGTCCTTTTCTTTTCTTTGAGCTTGAACTTGCTGCTACTGGACATCTTTCTTCTAAGGAAAGCAGTGAGAAAGGTCCACTGAAGTGAACTGTCTGTGGATAGGAATGGAAAGAACAGGTGACTATCTGCTTTCTGCTAACATGTATGTTCACGGCAGCACTTGACATGCTAACCTGATTTGTCTTGTCACGATAACATGGGAAAGGCTCCCAACAGAAGGGCCAGAAAGCCAGTGACAGATGTTGACCCCCACATTCCATCCCTGACAACGCTTCCCATCCTGGGATAACAGACAATCAAGTATTCCCTCCATTAGGGAAATACTGGGCTCCCTTGAACACCCGCCTAGAGGGCATAACGGTGCTTCCCAGCTGAGCCTGCAGCCCAAGTCTTCAGGAGTTGAAAAACCCATGATTACTCATTTGGTCACAAGCTAAATTAAACCCTACCTCAGCGAGCTAACCACAAGATAAAGGTGGGGCCACTCATAAGAAACGTTAACCCAATGAAAACATGCCTGAAAGGATGTGCGTGTCTCATCGTTACTCTTTTCCTACTTAGGCGGCATGAGAAACTGCAGGAAGAGGAGCCAGACTTTGCCTTTGATGGATTACTTGAGGGTAGGTAGCATGGGTGAGGTCTGATGGGAGGAATATATCTTTGTCACTTAACTCCCAGCATATCTAGGAGAGTCCACTTCTTTTTAACATTCCATATGTATTACAAGGGAAAAAAAAGAATACTTGGACCATTCCCACCCTCTCCCCACTGATAGCTTTAACTATAGGTCTAGACAACATATTTCTCTCCTACTTGCTGATTTCCCAAAGTCTTGAGAGTCAACCACATCCTGACAGCCCTTGAAGAAATGGAGAGATTTTTTCAGAACTCTTGGTTTTAAGTTCTGATCTCTTAGATGAAAGAATAACTAAGGAAATGATGACTGGGACATCTTGAATAAACCACAGAGTGTGGAAGCTGGGGTCGCTAGCGTCTTATTTTCAGTATGGAACCAAGATCCAAACCTAGGGCCTATACATGCAGGCAAACACTCTCACCGATCTACATCCCCAGCCAAAAACTTTCAACCCCAATTTCTCTCTTTCCCTCACTCTCCACCCCTCCCCATCTCTTAACACTGTCAACAGGCTCTCATTATATAGTCCAGACTAGCTTTAAATCCATGATTCTGACTTAGTCCCCTTAGTGATGAGATTACAGGTATGTACCATTGTGTCACTAATTAAGACCTAAATTATGCTCCATTGATTTGTGTGTTAAAATTTTAACTCCTGGTATCTCAGAATATAACTGCATTTGGCAACAAAGTCATTCAAGAGGTTGTTAAATTAAACTGAGGTGGGGGAACTCTAATATAGCTGACATCTTTTTTATTGCTTTTATTAAGCTATATATTTTTCTCCACTCCCCTCCCTCCCTCTCCCCTTCTACCCTCTCCCATAATCCCCACGCTCCCAATTTACTCAGGAGATCTTGTCTTTTTCTACTTCCCATGTAGACTGATCCATGTATGTCCCTCTCAGGGTCCTCTTTGTTGTCTAGATTCTCTGGGATTGTAAATTGTAGGCTGGTTTTGCTTTATGTCTCAAAGTCACTTATGAGTGAGTACATAAAAAATTTGTATAAGTCTGGGTTACCTCACTCAATATGTTTTCTAGATTTATCCTTTTGCCTACAAATTTCAAGATGTCATTATTTTTTTCTGCTGTGTAGTACTCCATTATGTAAATGTACCACATCTTCTTTATCCATTCTTTGGTCAAGGGGCATTTAAAGTATTTCCAGGTTCTGGCTATTGCAAATAATGCTGCTATGAACACAGTTGAACACATGTCCTTGTGGTATAATTGAGCATCATTTTGGGTATATAACCAAAAGTGGTATTTCTGGGTCATGAGTTAGGTTGTTTCCTAATTTTCTGAGGAATTGCAATACTGATTTCCAAAGCAGATGTACCAGTTTGCACTCCCACCAGCAATAGAGTGTTCCCTTTACCCCACATCCTCTCCAGCATAAGCTGTCATCAGTGTTTTTGATGTTGGCCATTCTTACAGGTGTAAGATGGAATCTCAGAGTTGTTTTGATTTGCATTTCTCTGATGGCTAAGGATGCTGAACATTTCTTTAATGTTTCAGCCTTAACATTTCAGCCATTTTAGACTCATCTGCTGAGAGTTCTCTGTTTAGGTCTGTACCCCATTTTATTATTGCATTATTTGTTTTTTCGATAACCAATTTCTTGAGTTCTTTGTATATTTTGGAGATCAGCCCTCTGTCTGATGTGGGGTTGGTGAAGATCTTTTCCCAATATCTGACATCTTTAAGAATTGACTAGAATATAGCCAATGGAGAGAACAGGTGAGAACACAGAGTGGAGACAGATTTAAGGGAAAGCCCACCCTGCCTGCACCCAGACCTTATATGTACAGCCTCTATGTTCATGAGCAAATCAATGTCTATATGCTAGTTGCTCAGGTGATGGGCTTTGTTATGGAAACCTGAGCACCACATACAATTGTACCTTAACAATGGCACTGGTAAGGTTGGGCTTCTAAGCGACAGCCTAGCTCTAACGCTCCAAATAGACAAACTCTGCTATCAACATCACTCAGGAAAGGGGCTGCACTGTGGACAGGTTGTAAATTCCTTTATCTAATTGTGTTCTGGTGGCCAATATTCTTGCTGACCTTTTCCACTGGTCCAGCTGCCCCTTTCTACCACCTTGTCACATTCCTCTGTCTCCTTCATCCTGACTCTCTGTAGCACATCTGGTCCCCTCATTTTACACGTTGTACATGTCATGCCTTGTCCCCAGAACACGCAGATGTGCCCAGTGGAATCCACCCTTCTTCCTCAATCCTGTTTTAGCTGGGTCATCCCCTCAACTGTCACTCCCAGGTGTGCATTCCCTTCAGCCTGTTAGGACTTGTATGTGCTTTCTGTGTCGCGGTCATAACAGCAGCCACACTCTACTTGTGATTCTCCACATGTGGCAGATGTCACTGGGGATCTGGGGCCCCTGGCTCAGTAGCTAATTTGTATACAAGAATAATTCCCAGAGGCACCTTTCCTTTAGCAAAGTGTGAACCAGACACTACACACACACATACACACAGACTTACCTCAGTAGATACACATGTATAAAGTCTGCTGTTCTCTGGACTTGTCCACTGATCTCCCATGCTTTTACATTATGGTGAATTGCTCAGTGTAGTTCTATTGCCCTGGGGACCCTCTTGGTAATTCCCTAATTGCCTCAATAAAGCCTCTCTTTTCTCCCAGCTCTGTCTGACTTCAGCCTTGAGATTTCCTAATGGAAACCACTCACTCCTATTGGACTCCCAGACTGTAATTATCAGTCTGGGACTTTGGTTTCCTTATTCCTATTGGTGTGAAGGTGAGGCCATTGCCAAAAACATGTGAGTGTCAGCGGAGCAGCTCCTTGAAGAGAGCATATGATGGAGTTGTTACATGTTGACTGTCTCCTGTGTATTTATTGACTGAAACATTTGAGCTGTTGCTTTTCACATTTGTAATTTTAGATCACAGATGCCTAGCGAGTTTAATCATACAGCAAAGCTCACATTTAATGAGAAAAATGTCAAGTATATTGTTATCCACCGTAAAAGCTGTGAAAAATATTTCTGCCATCTGCAATGTGCCTTCTGCTGCTGCCTCTAAGAAATTTTCTAGTAACAATACAAAATTAACAGTTGGGCAAACATTATAAAAAACGAAAGTTACTGACGCTCCTGAAACTCAGACCGTGCCTCAATGTCACGTCAAGATACTTTGCCTAGATTCCCAGAATAACTTGCTACTGGATGACATGGTATCCTGCGTCCCTCACACACCTTCGGCATCCTGCCAGTGATTAACTACATCCTAGGTATGGCTACATCAGCCTCTAGGTAACAACCCTGCAAGGCATTTCCTCTCTAGCTGTCACGTATCAGCACGCTCCCTGAGCCTGTCTCATCCTTACTCTTGTCTCCCTGCTGGGCTCTACATTCCAGCCAAGTCAACATCTCGGGCACTGGATGAACTTACCTCCATGTTACTGCCAAAAAGAACAACTTCCCTCCCCTCTCTGTGGTTATCCCTACACATCGTGCCATATCTACCTCAGAGTCATTTGTGGGAAACCTTGAGGGACACTCCCCCAAAGGATGAATCCACTGGAGCCTTCTGTGTACACTGCCATGGTATTTCCACATCAAGTCTCTGCATGTGGATTCCTACTGCTTCATGCACCAGCCTCTTCCTGCTCAACTGAACTCCAGGTTTACAGGGACCCTGCTTTCTGATGGCAAACTGGCCGTGGCAGCTGCTTTAAAGGACTCAGAAGCTACAAAGTCACTGTAACAGGAGTAAAGCGAGGTCTCTTGCCCAGGAACTTGCTCTTTTGACGTTGGCAACACAAAACCTTGCCATTATGCAGGCTGTGTTTATTTCTAGGTTTTCTCTCTGTATTTTAGCCCTTTCTCCTACTGAAAGAAATAACAGTCCTGTCAGTCAGGGAGCAATTGATAGTGATAAAAACTCTCTTTTTAGAGAGTGAGTTCACTTGTTCTTAAGTCATTCTTCGCCACAAACTGCAGGCTCATTATACGAGGAAAATGTGGTATCTCAGAGAAGCCACACTCTTAGAAGTTTGTAATTTACCTCGCCTGATGACTAAGGTCTGGAGGTTTTCGCTGCTTATTTGAGTGTGGTTTGGGTGGGGAGGCGGTGATAAACAAAGGCTGTCTTACTCATTGGAGCTGGGCTGTGGGAGTTGTGTAGCAATACCTGTTCTTTGGGCAATACCTTCTGCTTTTAGGGGCCACAGTATGAAGGGCCCTTCTCACAGCTTCGGTGTGACCCCGAGCTCTGAGCAGGTGCTCACTACACAAGGTGTACCTCACCCACGACCCATCTTTCCCTTTAATCCCAATCATCTTCCGAGTTCCAGTCACGACTTCAGTTTGAGATACCAACTCTTCTTATATGACTTCTGTTGAACTGGCATTGAGTTCCCACGGTATCCACAAGGAAAGACACAGGGTAAACTTCAGGTAGAAGTTGACCTGGGAAACGGAGAGAAGGATGGGTGAGACTCCTGTCACTCAGCACCCAAGTAAAACCATGCCTGGTAACTCTGCCTCACCAGCTAGTTCACAGATGTAGAGTACCCTATTCTACTCTATTAGTTTGCCTTCTGTTGCTTTGATAAACAACATGGCCAAAGCCATATGGGGAAGACAGGGTTTATTTCCTTGTACAACTCTGGATCACATGCCACCAATGGGAGAAGTCAAGGCAAATACTCAAAGTAGGAACCTGGAGGTGGGACCTGGAACAGTCTGTGGAGGGATGCTGCCTATTGGCTTACTTGCCATGGCTTTCTCAGTCTGCCTTCTACAATCCAGCATGCCCAGGATTTTTCTTGGTCCCTTTTCCCAAATGACACTAGCTTGTGTCGCACTGATGAAAAATTAGCCATCATATCTATCTTTTTCTAAGTGCCTACTGCATGTGCTTCAATCTCCAAGGAATCAGACTGGCACAGAGGACAGGGGTCATATGCACAGAGCCCATCTTTGCATGGTGAAGAGTGTGGACATCCTCAATGTATAGGGACCGCCCCACTCTTGTCTCCTTTCTTACACTGCATAACTATGAAGTCAGATATCAGCCAAAAAACTTCACATACAGCTGCACCCACTAGGCTCCTCCACAGCCTCCAGAAGGAACTATCGCTGCTGACCCCCTGACTTTAGAATTTCTGTCTCTGTAAGATGTAAGTCCTGTTGCATGAGTTGCTGCTAACAGCAAACCCAAGGAGCCAACACACTTGACTTTACTAAAAAATGATGAGACAAGCTGGGCGGGCTGAGGGAGATCTTTCAAGTGACCCTAACACAGAGAGAGGTTAGAACGACAGGGTCATTGTCATAGAATTCAAGTTCACCAACAACATGGATGGTTGCTGAACTGGGAGATGTTCCTCCTTGCAGAATAAAGTTGAGTTTTTAAAAAGTCTGAAGAGCACAGTTATGTATGAATATTTCTATTTACATACATACATACACACACACACACACACACACACACACACACAAGATAGAGTGGGAATAACTGTTTACATACACTTACCAAGACAGGGAGAAATACAGACCCTTGGTCGAACTGTTTTTTAAGAAACCCTCTTCTGAAGCAATAATTTTCATTTGACCATTTTTATTGTTGCTTTTTTTACAACTAGATTTTTATCTTAATTAATATATAATTGTAATATTTCCCCTGCTTTCCTTTCCTCCCTCCAACCCTTTCCATGACCCCATTTCACTCCTTCTTAAATTAATGATCTGCTTGTCTTTGATTATTATTGTTACATACATACATGCACGCACACACACACATACATAGATACAGAAATACAGAAATACAACCTGTTGAGTCTATTTAGTGTTGTTCGTATACATATGATTTGGGGGCAGATCACTTTATTTTGGAGAACCAAGTACGGGAATCATCCTTGAGAAAGACTAATTCTTCCTCACTGAGCAGTCATTAGTTGCCTACCATCTTCATTAAGGGGTGGGGCCTCCAGAGATTTCCCCTTCCATATTTCTATGTGTACCATGTTGTCATTGTTAAGGTCTTGTTTAGGCAGCCATGTTATTGGGACATGGTATTGTTGCTTTACCTTTCCCTTTCATTTCAGACTTGTACTTTTATTTTAGACAGTTTCCTTTTTATTTTTTGGCAAGAACATTGACTGAAAGATTTTTTTTCATAATTCCTTCATTCTTCAGAAGACAAATACAAAACCCCTCTCCATGCTTTACTGAGCATGTACAGTTCAGAGGCTGAAAAATAGAAGAACTCTATCTTTAATGACCGAGAGTTATGCCATCCAATAGGGGAGCCAATGGTCACAGGTGTCAATTTGCCTTTACATGCAAATTGGTTTCTATCAAATATTAGACAACCCAGTCTCATGGTCAAGGGCTCATTGTCCTTCTATGACTAGAAGCAACCACAATGAACAGCCTCGATAGGGAACTTTTCCATCAGCACAGAAGGATCTATGGCTCCGTGCTACTCAAGAGAAGCAAACCAAGAAGCATAACAAAGGCAAAGCTCAGCTAGCGTCTGGGTCCCAGTGCCTGCTTCAGGTGTCTTTACCACACACCTCTGGCAAAATATTTGATATACTGTATCTTTCTTTTACCACTCTATCGAAAGGGGAAGATAGTTTATAATATTGTGGACTTTATAAATTAAGACATTTATAAACATCTATTTATTGCAACAAATATTTTTAAAACACTTAGGAGCTAGGTATTATGATAAGTCTACAGAACAAGGCCATAACAAGTTCTTCTAGTCTCTGAGTTTTCATAAGAGAATAAGGATAAAAATAATTACAATGCAAATGACAATAAATGATGATCATGTATCAAGGTAGAATGAAATGGTGGTATAAAGGTTGAAGAAAGTCTAAGAGGCGTTTTGAGGAAGAGTCCACACAGGAAGTGGTTCTAAAGTAAAACAGTTTGAAGAGGGATTGGTGTTCTGAGAAGCCTCACCTTTGCTCTCCGGCATAGACTTTATTCAATGAAATATAGGTCTTTGCTCCCCTTGTTCCCTTCCATTCATCACTGAGCAACCTTTCTTTCATCTACAGATCATGTTATTCAAACTATCATGTGAAACACCACACACACATGCACACACATACACAAACACACACATACACAAACACACACATATGTGTGCACACACATGCATGCACACACATGTGCACACACAGAGTAGGGAGAGAGACTAAAACACAATGTTAACAAAATTTAAAGAAGATCAGTTTTAAAGATATTGGATACCACTCAATGGAAGTCAGTGGTCACCAAAAGTCAAGAAACAACCCAGGTGAGCCCTGAAATTGCCCCCTGCCTTAACAGAGCTTCCAGGAGCTGGCGATGAGGAAGAACCTAAGCCACTAGCCACTCATACTTCAACAAGGATAGAGAGTTGTAGACTTCCATCTATATGAAATATCCAGAGTAGTCAAAGCCAAAGAGAGCAAAAGTACATGAGAAGTGTCCATGGGCTGAAAGAATGGATAACACCTGCTAATACAGGTTTCTTTGAAAGCGATGACCCATGCTGTAATAACCAACTATGATAAAGGTTGACCTGCTTTGTAAATATGCTAAAAGACTATGGGGTGTGAGTTTTAAAGTATGTGTTCTGGTCAATCAACTTGACGGCATTTAGAGTCAACATGGCAACAAATTTCTGGGTATATGTTCAAGGGATTGTCTCCCAATTAGGTAATAAAGGTAGAAAGACATACCTTAAAGGTGAGTGGTACCATTTCATGCAGGTGGGTGGGGAGTTCCAACCCAAATATAAAGGAGACATGGACCTGACAACAAAGATTCATTGCTCTGTATTTTCTGAGCATGGATCCAACGTAATCAGCTGCTCCCTCCTCCTGCTGCTATCAGGCCTTCCCTGTCACACTAACCTACATCCACCTAGAAATTTGGGAGATGACAAACCCCCTTTTTAATTACTTTCGTCTGAAAAAAAAATGAAAAAAAAAACTAAAAAATTAGTATGGAGAAGTATTGGTTAAAAAAAAAACAGTATGGTCCATTATTGTGGTAAACCTGGCCATGTAGTTCTTATGCCATTAGAACTGATTTATGGGAGGGATGTGGAAAAGTTTGTAAGCTTCGGCTAGAAAAGCCCTTGAATTTTGTAAATAGAGCTTAACGGGTCATTCCAGCAGAGATCTGGAAGTCGAGAATTCTGAGATAAACTCAAACAGTGCAGCCGAAGCTCATGGGGTTTCAGAGGCAAACAAGTTTATAAACCAGGCCTGTTACTGTCAAAGGATCTGGCTACATTCCGCCACGTCCAGAGAACTTGAGAGAAGTTCAATTTAAAACAAACTTATTTGGTGAAGACATTTTCAAGACAAGTTAGCTTTCAGATTATGTTGTGGGTACTGCTGCTTGCTTTTAGGTCTACAGGCTCAAAGATCAAAATGGAGACCAGAAAGAAAGAAAAATGTGAAGTTTGCAGTAAGGAAAGTCACATGATTAAGTTACAAGTTTGGGCCAAAGAGAATGTAGACAATAATGTGTCTGTAATTGTCAAAACTGTGATAATAGGAAAGGAGGTCATACCTATCAAATTCCACCTCGTGAAAATACAAATTCATGTAAAAGGAGAACACCTAGAGCCAAACATCTTAGTGGATCAGGATACTTGACCTTAAGCCTCATGTCTTCAGTTCAACCCCAGAACCCACATGGTTGAAGGAGAGAACTATTTCACACTAATTGTCCTATGACCTCCACACATGTGAAACAAGCAAGTGAACGTGTTTTCTCTCTCTCTCTCTCTCTCTCTCTCTCTCTCTCTCTCTCTCTCTCTC